CTTTGCCTCACGCCCCCACCTCCTGCCCGTCCGCCTCACCGTGCGCCGCCGGCCACCCCCCGCCGTCGAGCACCGCCACCGGCTACCCTCCTCCCTTCGGGATCCTCGAGCGCCCGACCCGGCCTTCGTTCGTCGCCAGCACCTGCGGATCCGGCCGCCCCTCGCCTTCCCCGTCGGTTGCACCTCCCCGCGCTGCCGCCCCTGCCAAGCTCCGCCGTCTGGATCCACATCCCCATGGCCGGAACGAGTCCTCCTCGAGGAGCCGCGCATCCTCTACCTGCTCCAACTGCGCACGTCCTCTGCTAGGTCGACTCCCGCCGCCTACGACGATCGCTGCCGTCAGATCTGCTCCAACTTGAGCGCCCCCAGGTAAAGCTGTAGATGTCAAATATGCTCTGAACTTTACTGCACAAGCATTCGACAGCATGGTTCTATTAGTGACCGAGGGATTTGGAGGTACAGGTACTGAAGGGTAATGGATTTGAAGGTTGCTATATCTTGAGTTGTCCCATTGTCTTACTAAATTCAGGATTCAACTTAGGAGAGTGTACAGAATATCCAGGTTTGTATTGTTTCCGGTGTATGTTGGTCATGCATCGGATGTCACTCAGTTTCTAGGAAATTCAAGATGGCATGTAAGCTTCTCCTATTTGATGTATTTTTACTTTCTCAAAATCTCTTTATTAATACCAACGATGATTTTATTTTTTCCTGATGACTTGCTGTCATATTGTTTAGCAAAGAAACAGACAAACAAGGAGAGAAAACTTAAACAAGAGAGATGTATGAGGATGTCAGCGTCTCAGCAAACATGTATTGTGTGAGGACACCCTTCGTCCGACCTAATCTTGACGATCATCTGTAGGTACACACATACATGTTCTTCCCGGCCGCCTCTTGGTTTAGTTCACATGTCTTGAATTACTTTGATCCTTTTGGTAACATCAAACTGGGTTGCATAGAAGTAACTGCTAACTGGGTTTGACCTTTGTGAGGAATCTACAGCAGCACTTCAAAACTCCCAGGCTGTTTTCATCAGCAAGCTTACAGCTGACCACATGATGGAACTCGATAATACTACACTGTACGATGTACTTGAGATTCCAATGAATACCCGTCGAAGTGATGTGGTCATCAGCATGTATGCTCTCAATCTCCTGCTAGGGTATTTTCTCTTAAACGATGCTACTGTCACATGATGCATATCATGGTTTTGTTGCGTGGTAATTTGACCTGCACAACACTTGTTGCTATTATCCTTTCGAGGATGCAGAATGATTCTTCAATTTGGGGTGCCAACTATGCTAGCTTTATATTGCTGAATGTAGGAGCTTATTTTTTCTTGTTAGTTATTCAATGATATTGGGCAGGGCATCTCAATGAACTATTCTTTCTAATTCCTGGAGTTACATGTGTGATTGCTTAGACTCTTCTAATAGTGTCATAGTTTGGTTGGTTGCTTGGCTGAAATAGTTTCTTACGGGCCTCGTTCTGGACCTGTTCCCACGTATATAGAATATATTTTCTACTGCTTTCATCAAACAAAAAAGTCATAAACATTAAATATTTAAAGTTTTGTCTCGTTCATACTTTCTAGAATCTGAAACTGTACTGAAATCATCATAGAAATTCCGCAAGAATATTAAAGGCACCCGTGTCATTCATCCCTACTAGATGATGAATGCTATTGCTAATTTTTTTTCTCAAAGATGCCTCATTTTCATGAAGAAGAAAGCTCAGTAGACTAAAATTCCATATCATTTCTTCTTTCTTAAGGAAAACTGACTGCAGGCAGCAATCACAGATGTTCAGCCTATTTTCAGTTGACAATATACTGAATAATTTGGCAGTGAACAAATACAGAAAACTCTGTTAAGAAGCGATAGTTTTGAACCTGAGTTTACAAAAGAAAATGTACCAATTCGTGTTGAAAATATCTTAGGCATCAAGTCCACCAGGTTTGAGATGTTCACAGAAACATGTCAGTTTCAGGCAACTACAATTCAGAATTGTTTGCCACACTGTAACGTTTCAGCAAATCAGAAACATTTCCCATGATGTTAATATGTTGACTAGGGGCCTTTTGTAGCTACTTTAATGAAAATTGTAGTACCACAGTGTCCTGCTGCATATATTAAATTGCAAAGGGAAAGTAATAAAACTTAGGACTTGGTTGTCTATCTGATCCATCAGTAAGCAAGCAGGGGCCATGTTGTCAAGGAACAGAGTTCAAAAACCACCAATCTCAGGAACACTCTGGCCATGTATTTGATTCTGTTAAAGACCCAATATATGATAAGATGCTATTTTCATTTGCTAGGCAACCATGAAAACGTTTCTGTCCAATTCATAATTTAAATTAGTCATGTGTGTTCTTTTATCCAGTTATCACAATTTTACTCATGTGTCTTCTTTTATTTAGTTCTGTGAGGAAGAAGGGATTACATCGATGTGTAATATGTTCTTTGTTCTACAACCATACCTACATGGGATTATAGTTCAGTTAGAAATCTGAGATTATTTTCCTCTAGAAATGAGCATTAGCCCTCAGAACAGAAACGAACTGCACAACTATGCTCCTACTTAATTATGCATTAATCAATATGTTCATTATTACAGTAAGGTTAGAAACTGCATTTGTGTATTTGTACCAAGCTTCCTTGCTCATCTCATTCTGTGCCTACCATGTTGTATGTCGGAAAGCTGTGGTTTTGATATAGAGCTATAGTTCATCTATATGTTTCTGCTGCCTATATATTATTAATGTGTTTCCCTCACCTGCTATTTGAATGACATAATCCTTCAGATCTTTCCCAAATTTTATGTTAAAGCTAACAAGACCCCCCCCCCCTTCCTGTAAATACAACTTTGAACGAAGGAAAGCAATACAGGGCCGCCTTTATATCTTGGGTCACTCCATAGCAGGGAGCAAGAGTGGGCACATCTGAGTTCAGATATTCAGTCACTGTTTTCCAATCCATCTCAAGCTCCACAGGTCCTCTGGAAACTTTTGCCAGAGCAGCCAAACCAGGGCTATCCGGGCTTCAGCTTCCTCCACACTGTCGGAAACTGGTAACTCGCAGTATGTCGACAGATACACTTAGCCTCTAATGACTATTCCAAAGGGACGCTGCATGTTCCTAGATGCATATATTTTCATTACACTGAGATTTTTTTTAGGTATAACAATGGGATTTAAGATATACAATTTTTTTCTGTAGAATTTCTATGAAATCCGAATAAACCATACCTTCAAAGGCCAACATAGTGGCACTTAAAATAAATGCTAATCTGCACTCACGCTGCAATCTGGTGCCCATTCTTCTGGTGATTTGGTCAAAGCTACAACCAAGCAAAGAAATTTTACATGCTATAAGAACTAAGTTATGGATTTTGTGTTCCCAGGTCTATAATATGCATGCTTTGCCGGTTCCCTGCAAGCACTTTCGGCCATGACCTCAAGTTCTGCAGGTAGGCCGTGAATGTTTTGATCCTTCTCACCGTCCACCGATGATGGCCCGATAGAAATCAGGGAAGGAGAAAAGGATGTTGTTGTCATGGTCGTCGGAACGACTTGCCGTGGATGCAGTTATGCACTAGATGACATCAACGGCTAGCCATGGACGAGCACCTCGCCGCCTCCGCAAAATATGGATGCACGGGATTCTGCTACTAACATTTCAGTGTGTTCTGTTGCGGTGCTGTGACATATACACCTTCAGCGCGCATGTAATGTTTGTCAGCTACTACTTTAGATAAATAACCACTGTATTCTATTGTATGTGTAATTGAAATGTTCATGTGTTTAATCATCTGGCAAAGAGGCTCACTGGATGTTTCTTATAATATTCTATCTGTAATAGACATGTACGCATGTATTTAACCATCTGGCAAAGAGGCTCATTGGATGTTTCAAAGTTTACCTTTCTAGAACACCATTTCTTTTCTTCTGAACCAAGAGGTTCCAAGCCAATATGTTGCCAAACCATTCACTGTGTGGGCAAATTTTTACTTTTGAAGGAAGCTCTGACTATTGCCACTCCTTCCCATCACTTTGCAATCAATTCTTGAAGGGAACCATGCAGCCTAGCTGTGCCATCCGTGTGTGTTAAATTAGTTAATTTCTCCCCTGGCTGGATCGTGCCGAACTCCGCATGTAAAACATTTCCCGTCTAATATATTTTGCACAGAGCTCACATACACAGTTCTAAAAAACATGATCTTGATGCATCTGAAGTTGTATTAATTTGTGCAGGAGAACAATATGTGCTTTCTGAATGTTTGCCTGCACACAGCCAAGTTCTCTAGATGAGTGTGTGCAGAACTCTACAATCTGAAGAATTAGCTCCTGCAAAATAAATCATCCCCGTGGTTGTTGTGAATGTTTGTGGCACAATCCAAAATTCATAATGCACCAAAGTTATTGTGGTGATGATTTGATCTAATGCTTTTAAATAATGGATTGTACAAATCAGCATTCGAATTTGTACTCAAGGTCGTGATTCATTCCGAGGGATGCTCCGTGTATACTTGCACAATATTGTCTTTCATTTCACTTTTCTGAGTATTGTACAAGCCTAAGATTGACGGATGTGATTGACAGCTGAGATTTTTGTGTTATATAGTAGGATTTTTAACTATCCGTCCGTCACAGCCCTCCCCTTGCGTGTGCATGGTTTTCGATGTCTCACCTAAGATCCCGCATGGAAAAACAGTAGAAATGAAAATCGGGGAAACTGACCCACCCACGCAAACGAGCCGATGAAAAAGTCCCGACAACCAACAAAAGACTCCCGAGCCCACGTGCCCACATATAACAGTAGAAAAGGAAAAACATGTCACCCCAATCCGATCGTTCCATGACCATTTCCTCCATGGCGCTCCAAGTGTTTCAGGCTGAGCCTGCCATCGATCCTCCGTTCTGGCCTCGGGTGTGCCCTCAAGCGCGCCAAGGTCGGCGAGGAGGCACCAACAAAAGAGGATCATGCATGTGGCCGAGACTACAGTGGGAATCTTGGATAACAAAAAAATAATCAAAGATCTGATTCATGGGGAAAATTACATGCTAAAGACTTCTCTTATGTCCATAAGCCAAAACATGGAATAAACTTTGTTCTCTTTTGTTGTAACGCACGGGCATATTTGCTATCTATATCTATATTTATATATATACCTACTAATAAAGTATCGATTGCTTCTGCCCGTTCATTGTCGGCATTTTTATAGAAAAGACCATGCAGTTCTGGGTAATTACCCCGCAGTACTGTTTTAAGTTAAAAACTTTTCGTCTTGGTTCATTTTTCTTTCTTCTCTCCCGACTTTTTAACAGGGGCTGTGTGGCGCTACGCACGAGACGAGCGGCCGACGGCAGTTGCGGGGCGTGCAGGCGAGGTGCGGGAACACGCGGACAGATTGGGCCTGACGCGAAGCGTGGCGGCAGAGCACGTGACGTGGAGAGGTCGCGAAGAGGTAGGTGACGTTGAGCTCGTCGGAGAGAGCCTTGGGGCGGTAATAGCCAGCACGCTGGAGGCGGTTGAGGCATGCGTGGCTGGGGTGGCGTCGGGTGCGCGCTCGCATAGGAGCATGGATGTAAGAGGGGCCACATGAAGGTGGTCGTCGGTGTGCGAAGACGCTTTGCCATGGCGAAGCAGAGGTTGTTGAGGACGTCGGCAATGACGGGAGTGCCTGCTCGCTTTAGGGACCCCGGCGGTAGGGAAGTAGAGTCGGGGGAGCCAGTGAGGTCAACGGAAAGGACGAGGAAGAAATGAGAAGAGGTGGGGAAGGGAACTAGCAGAGGCGTCGGAGCGGGGCAAGTAGGCTCGGGGGCCGCGCTAGGTTGGGATCGATGGGAAGACTGCTTGTGGTTGTGAGCATGTCCATCACAGCGAAAAAGTTTGCAAATAGTTTAAAATGTTAATGAATTCAAAAAGTGTTCTTGATTTTAGAAAATGTTCAAGAATTTGTAAAAGTGCTTGTCAATTTAAAAAATGTTCGCGAGTTTAAAAAAATGTTCATAATTTCACGAAATTGAGAGCTATATTGTATCTCGATGATGCAACATAATGTGATCATGTCTATTGGAGTTATGATTTTTTTCTCCCGTTGCAACGCACGGGCCCTTTTGCTAGTAAATTATAAAAACCAATCGAATATAAGGGTGGGTGTGTGTGTGGTACGTCGTCCGGCGCAGACGGTGGTGTTGTGCATCAGTGCATGCATCTCTATATGTGAAGGAGATGCAACTTACGGACTGGGCCGGGCAGCCAGTGTGAAGGTATCCTCCATCATTCTGAACTTGGACTCGGGTTTCGCGGCAGTGACTAGCTTAGCGGCGATCTTGTAGGCCTTGATATATTTAGCTAATTTCTCCTTGTCTCCCTTGGCCTTGTGCAGCACGGACGTAGCGGTGAATTCATGCTCCAACACATCATATTTTACTTCCGTCATTTTGGATGGTGGGGCGGCGGCGATGACCCCATCTAGGGCCTTCTTGATGATGGTTGTTAGCTCGGCCAAGGCGGCATCGTCGGCAACGTTGGAATTGTCGATGGCGATGACGGCGCTTGTGATAGGCAATGATGCAATTGCCACCATGATGATGGCAAGGATCAGTGTCGCCGCAATGTTCTTGACTCGCGCCATTGCTCTTGTTGGCGTAACAAGTGATTGAGAGGGGTGATTCAACAAGATATTGCTACTTTCATTGAGATCGATGCTTGTGCCGTGGAGGCTTATGAATGTTGTCATTGCCTTAAATAGAAGATGTTGCACGAAGAGAGCGTGAGGCCACGAGTGCTTCGCGGGCACCATGCCCGGGGGAAAAACTGGTTGCACCCATTTATGTCTAGCTATATGAGCCACCACGTGCCCCTCATGTGGACTGAGCACGCCACAAGTTGGCCACCGGTCAGATGCCCTCAAGAACTCCTAGGAACTTGCCGTCCATCTAGCTAGGCACCCCAATTAGTAAAACGTGCGGTTCTTGCATGGTTCCAAGTCTGAGAGGTTCATGATAGCCTTTTGAATGGGAGGTTCATGATACAATCTTTTTTTACTTCAATGCTAACCATACATGATTAACACGGATTACAACTTGAAGCCAACCGTAACTCAACCGTGCCCTATTATTCGAACATGACCAGCCCATGAAAAAGCCCTAACCTCCTTTTCTAAAAAATAATTAAAAAAACTATCTCTGGATATCAATTTCTTCTCTTTAAGCAACTCATTGATGGAGTCTTTAACTCTTCATATTTCTAATCTATCTTCATTCATACTCATTACCTCTCACTACTGTAGGATTCTGCTAACGCGACACTACGATCAGAGACCCTTCGACGAAGCTGTGTGCGATGCAATAATCGCAAACGGTGGTGTAAAAGAACAGTCAAAAAAGGTGCAAAACATTTGTGATGGCAGAGGCATCAAACACGGTTCAGATTATGCAGGACATACGATTCAGTTAAATTAACCGCTTGCAATGAGGAGGAATAAAAGAAACGGGCTGCCAGATGAAGGTGTGTGTGATATGCAGCATACACTTCACTCGGATGAACCGTTTGTGATTAGGCAACACAAAAGAAACGGTTAGCCAGATCAAGGTGTGTGCAATATACGGCATGCGATTCACTCGGATGAACTGTTTGCGTTGAGACAAGAGAACAGAAACGGTTCAATATAAAGATGTGTGTGATACGCGGTAAACATGTCTGTAATCAGAAATGTGTGCAAAGACCGATAATAACACAGACGATTGCTTCTAATAAGACGTACGTGATATGCTCTGTCTACACAACATTTAATGGTCATTGGGGGACAGGCGGTCATCCGGATACGCCATAAGGATGCGAAGAGGCATCATATATCAGCAAGGACTAGCTGTTCCACTAGTAGCTCATGTACACTACTGGAATCTGGCATTTTGCCGTCCGCCATCTCTTTGCCGTCTGCCAGCTGACGGCAAAGAGGTTTTTTGTCGTCCGCTTTACGTAAGCGGGCGGCGAAGAAAGAGATGATGGCAAAAATGATATTTGCTGTCTGCTAGCAGACTGCAAAGAGCTAAAAGGCAGACGGCAGAGAGCCAAGTGGGCCCAAAGGGCACGGCGTGGCTAGGTCAGCTTCTTTGTCGTCCGCTAGCAGACGGCAAAGAGGTGACTACTTTGCCGACTGCTAGCAGACGACAATGTTCCTCCTTTGCCGTCCGCTGGCCAGCCCTAACGGTCGCCCTCTTTGCCGTCTGCTAGCAGACGACAAAGAAGGCCCACTTAACGTACGGGCCGGTGGCGCCGTCTCCCTCTCTCTCTCTTTCTCTCTCCCTCCCGCGCGCCCACCTCTCTTCTCCTGTCGCCGGCGGCATGACATACATTACTTTTGTCATATTGCCATTGCATAATCATGTAGTTGACATCGTATTTGTGGCAAAGCCACCATAATAATTTTTCATACATGTCACTCTTGATTCATTGCACCATCCCGGTACACCGCCGGAGGCATTCATATAGAATCATATCTTGTTCTAGTTTCGAGTTGTAATTCAGATGTTGTAATCAATAAAAGTGTGATGATCATCATTATTAGAGCATTGCCCAAAAAGAAAAAGAAAGAAGAAAGGCACAAAAAGGCCCAAAAAAAGAAAAGAAAAGAAATAAAAAAAAATAAAAGGGGCAATGTTACTATCTCCTTTTCCACACTTGTGCTTCAAAGTAGCACCTTGTTCTTCATGTAGTGAGTCTCATATATTGTTCTTTAAAGTAGCGCCATGTTTTTCATGTAGTGAGTCTCATAGGTTGTCTTTTTCATACTAGTGGGAATTTTTTCATTATAGAACTTGGCTTGTATATTCCTATAATGGGCTTCCTCAAATGCCCTAGGTCTTCGTGAGCAAGAAAGTTGGATGCACACCCACTAGTTTTCTTTTGTGAGCATTCATTTATAGCTCTAGTGCATCCGTTGCATGGCAATCCCTACTCCTCATGTTGACATCAATTGACGGGCATCTCCATAGCCCGTTGATTATCCTCGTCAATGTGAGACTTTCTCCTTTTTTTGTCTTCTCCACACAATCCCCATCATCATATTTTATTACACCCATAGTGCTATATCCATGGCTCACGCTCATGTATTGCGTGAAGGTTGAAAAAGTTTGAGATTATTTAAGTATGAAACAATTGCTTGGCTTGCCATCGGGAGTATAGAAGTTGGAAACATCTTTGTGTGACGAAAATGAAGCATAGCCTAACTATATGATTTTGTAGGGATGAACTTTCTTTTGCCATGTTATTTTGAGAAGACATGATTACTTTGATTAGTATGCTTGAAGTGTTACTATTTTTTTTATCAATATGAACTTTTATGTTGAATCATTTGGATCTGAACATTCATGCCACAATAAAAAAATTACATTGAGAATTATGCTAGGTAGCATTTCACATAAAAAATTCTGTTTTTATCATTTACCTACTCGAGGACGAGCAGGAATTAAGCTTGGGGATGCTTGATACGTCTTCAACGTATCTATAATTTTTTATTGTTCCATGCTATTATATTACCCCTTTTGGATGTTTGTGGGCTTTATTTTACACATTTATATCATTTTTGGGACTAACCTACTAACCGAAGGCCCAACCCGTATTGTTGTTTTTTTTCCTATTTCAGTATTTCAAAGAAAAGGAATATCAAACGGAGTCCAAATGGAATGAAACCTTCGGGAGTGTGATTTTTGGAACGAATGTGATCCAGAGGACTTGGAGTGCAAGCCAACAAGCAGCCGAGGCAGCCACGAGATAGGAGGGCGCGCCCACCCCTACAGGGCACGCCCCCTGTCTTGTGGGCCCCTCGGGCGGCCACCGACGTACTTATTCCTCCTATATAAGCCTACGTACCCCGAAAACTGTTGGGGAACGTAGCAGAAATTCAAAATTTTCCTACGTGTCACCAAGATCTATCTATGGAGAGACTAGCAACGAGGGGAAGGAGAGTGCATCTACATACCCTTGTAGATCGCTAAGCGGAAGCGTTCAAGTGAACGGGGTTGATGGAGTCGTACTCGTCGTGATTCAGATCACCGATGATCCTAGTGCCGAACGGACGGCACCTCCGCGTTCAACACACGTACAGCTCGACGATGTCTCCCACGCCTTGATCCAGCAAGGAGAGAGGGAGAGGTTGAGGAAGACTCCATCCAGCAGCAGCACAACGGCGTGGTGGTGATGGAGGAGCGTGGCAATCCTGCAGGGCTTCGCCAAGCACCTACGGGAGAGGAGGAGGTGTCACGGGAGGGAGGGAGGCGCCAAGGGCTCAGGTATGGATGCCCTCCCTCCCCTCCACTATATATAGGGGCAGGGGAGAGGGGGAAGGCGCAGCCTTGCCCCCTACTCCAAGAAAGGGGTGCGGCCAAGAGGGGGGAGGAGTCCATCCTCCCCAAGGCACCTCGGAGGTGCCTTCCCCTTTGAGGACTCTTCCCTCTAGGGTTCCCTAGGCGCATGGGCCTCTTGGGGCTGGTGCCCTTGGCCCATGTAGGCCAAGGCGCACCCCCTACAGCCCATGTGGCCCCCCGGGGCAGGTGGCCCCACCCGGTGGGCCCCCGGGACCCTTCCGGTGGTCCCGGTACAATACCGATGACCCCGAAACTTGTCCCGATGGCCGAAACAGGACTTCCTATATATAAATCTTTACCTCCGGACCATTCCGGAACTCCTCGTGACGTCCGGGATCTCATCCGGGACTCCGAAAAACATTCGGTAACCACATACAAACTTCCTTTATAACCCTAGCGTCATCGAACCTTAAGTGTGTAGACCCTACGGGTTCGGGAGACATGCAGACATGACCGAGATGTTCTCCGGTCAATAACCAACAGCGGGATCTGGATACCCATGTTGGCTCCCACATGTTCCACGATGATCTCATCGGATGAACCACGATGTCAAGGACTCAATCGATCCCGTATACAATTCCCTTTGTCTAGCGGTATGGTACTTGCCCGAGATTCGATCGTCGGTATACCGATACCTTGTTCAATCTCGTTACCGGCAAGTCTCTTTACTCGTTCCGTAACACATCATCCCGTGATCAACCCCTTGGTCACATTGTGCACATTATGATGATGTCCTACCGAGTGGGCCCAGAGATACCTCTCCGTTTTACACGGAGTGACAAAATCCCAATCTCGATTCGTGCCAGCCCAACAGAAACTTTCAGAGATACCCGTAGTGTACCTTTATAGCCACCCAGTTACGTTGTGACGTTTGGCACACCCAAAGCACTCCTACGGTATCCGGGAGTTGCACAATCTCATGGTCTAAGGAAATGATACTTGACATTAGAAAAGCTTTAGCATACGAACTACATGATCTTGTGCTAGGCTTAGGATTGGGTCTTGTCCATCACATCATTCTCCTAATGATGTGATCCCGTTATCAACGACATCCAATGTCCATGGTCAGGAAACCGTAACCATCTATTGATTAACGAGCTAGTCAACTAGAGGCTTACTAGGGACATGGTGTTGTCTATGTATCCACACATGTATCTGAGTTTCCTATCAATACAATTCTAGCATGGATAATAAATGATTATCATGAACAAGGAAATATAATAATAATCAATTTATTATTGCCTCTAGGGCATATTTCCAACAAAAA